TATATATATATATATGTAAATATGAAAAATATATCAAAATGCATGTAGGTACTCAAATGAAAGCTCTTGATGAGTGTAACGTCGGGATGAGCTCATATCTTTAAAAACCTCAATAATTAAGAACGTACAGTGCAATTGAACAAAATTCATTATTTATTAAAACAAAATTTTATTTATTGTGACTGCAGGGTTGCTAGTTAATACTAATTAACAAAATAAATTTTTTTAAGTTTCTTATTACTATAATTTAATTAAAAAATTGAATTTTTAAGAATGATGAATAATTATAAAATAATTTAATTTAAAGAAAATTAAAAAAATATTAAGATAAATTTAAATATTAAAATTTTCTTTCTTAAAAAAAGTTCGCATATCATCAGATTAAAATAAATAAATATTTAAATAACTTACAAATATTACCTTCAGATCAATATTGATTCAATTCTTAAAATTAAATACTTCTAGAGGTGTTTATTCGCTTTTAAACTTTCGTCCTAAATACCTTCGCCACCCTACAGAGAATTCTCAACATTCACAGCAGAAGATATTTTCATACCTATAAAACTAAAATCAGTGAAATAAAAAAACTCATCACCATCACTCTATTCTTATTTATATTACTCCACCGCTCAAAGTAATAAAATAAAAGCGTATAAACGTCTAAGTGTAATTTTAATCTCAGCAGAGAATTTTCTCAGAGAAAATTTGCTTCTCATTTCAATAAAAATAACAATTTCATTATCTTCGTTCGCGAAACTATAAAAAAAAAAATTAATCAAGCAAAACTATTTAGAAATATAATACTGAATTTAACAAATATGTAACAATTTTTTAGATTTTTTTAACAATTAAATAAAAAAAAAAATCACAAGCGCGAATTTTAAAAAAAATTTTATTTTTATGATCTATTTGTGATAAAAATTTAAAAAATTTTTAGATGTCTGCTTTGAGTATCATTTAAAAATCAATGCAATTATTTATAAAATTTATGATACTAAAATAAGCAGGCACTAAAAAATCAAAAATTTTTTTTTAAAATGCACAGATAATTTTGCAAATTTTTTACAAGTGAAATTTTTTCTGATAATTTCTTTCAATACAAAAAATTCTAAAAATTTTCAGATGTCTGGTAATTTTATTTTATAATACTAAAGTAAGCTTACGTTATTTATTTTTTTTTCATATATCAAATTAGAACTAAAAAATAGTTAAAAAAAAATTGCACTTTATATTATTCTAACTTTCTTACAAATGGAATTTAAAAAAATTTTCTTATAACAATTTTTTCATAATACTGAAATTAGCAGACATCTGACAATTATTCGAATTTTAATAAAAAATTAATTCTTATAAAAAGAATATTTTTAAAAATTCATACAGAAAGAAAAATTTCTTGACTGAAGAACAAAATTTTTGGCTCAAGAAAATTTTCGGGTGCCTGAAGGAAGACCGAAGTTGTGTTGGCCGAAGTAAAAATTTTTCTTTAAATTCTATTCTTGGTGGAAGTCATTTTTTCTTAATTCAGATCATAAATACTTGATACAATAAATTTTTATATTTGATCAAGATTTTTAGATACTTTAGGGAAGCAGCGCCACTTACTTCTGAGAAAAAAATTTTCTCACCTTGAGAAAATTTTTCTCGAGAATATTTGATACCCATTTTATATTATTTTAGCGTGCAATTATACATATTGAATGAAAAAAAAATGATGAAATATTATTTGATCTTCCCAAGGGACATGTTAATCAATAAAAATATTAATGAAAATTAACTTCTATCTTTATATTTAATTTTTTGGAACAAGAGGCTGAATTTTCTCAAAACAACAAGATTTTCTTGACTTAAATAAATTTTCTTGGATCAAGTGAACTTTTTTTTCTGTGCTTCTACAATTTTTTCAAATTTGCAAAATTTTTTTCTTTAGAATCAAATTATTATAACAATCTAAAAAATTGTTTTATGTCTATTAAATTCAGTATCACATTTTTTAATTAAAAAACTTCTAAAAATTTGTAGATGTCAGCTAACTTGATTATTATTTTTATTTTGATATAAATTAAAATTAAAAACCATGAAATTGTCTTTCTTCTTTTAGTAAACGTTTAAATTAAAATAGTTTTAATTTCCAAGGGCGTGTTCCTTAGAAATTAAAGTTCTTGTGAGTATCAGAGGCATAAATTACACCCTTAAAAATAAAAATGATCTGTAACATTGTCATTATTCTTAATCGTGCATAGCATATCGCATAGTACAAAGCGAAAACGGAGCAGACTAGTGCGACTTGAGGTGTCGTATTGGATAAAAGTTCAAGGGCGAGTTTGAGGGTGTCTTTGTATATAGGTACCTAGAATGTAAAAAAAAATAAAATAAAATAAAATACTTTTATTAACTGGTCCATGTACTCATTGTGTACACACTACTATACTCCCACAGTTTGTTGATAAAAGTCTTAAACGTATTGATAGCAGACAGCTAAGTAGATTCAACTGTAGAGATGTTATGTTGATATAAATGTAGGCGATGCCAATTCCATGTATTGAAAGTTAACTTCATCTGTATACTACACAGGTACATCAAACATTTGATTGACGCCTGCGTACACCAGCTTCCAACTCCTAGACTTGACAAGTCGTACATACGTGCTGGAATAATGTAGAGTATTCTTCCCGGTGAGTTTTATTTTTATTTTATTAATTTAATTGTTATTCATTTGGATTGTATTTTTTGACATAACCTAAAATTTTTAAGAGTAACCTAAAAATGTTAATTTTTTGGTTTATTAATTAATAATTTTAAATGAAAATTAAATTAATTGACGTCTACAAATTTTTTAAAATTATTTTTTCACTTGTTATTTAATTGAAAAAAAATTTTTTTTTAATTGCACTTGTAATTTATTTTGATACTGAAATTAACTGACAAACTGTCAAAATTTATTTAACTTCTTTTTTTTTTATTGTACAACATACCTATATACTATATAATTGATTTGTTATGAAAATAAAGTTTGCCGACTTTTAAAAATTTTTAGAAATTTTTTATTTAAAAAATTTCAATTAAAGAATTAAAAAAAAAATTGTCACATGTAAAAAACTTGAAAAACTATACGTGCAATTTTTTATAAATATTTTTTTAGCTGTAATTTAATTAATAAAAAAAATCAAAAATTTTTAGACGTCTGCTAACTTCAGTGTCATGATTTGTTATAAAAAGTTTGAAAAATTTTCGACAGTTTGTCGCATAACTTCAGTATCATTTAATTTTCATTTTTTATGATACTGAAGTTAACCGTCAGCTATCAAGTTAAAAAATTTTTTTAACAAATTCAACTTACAAATAAAAAAATATACTATATAATTGATTTGTTATGAAAATAAAGTTTGCCGACTTTTAAAAATTTTTAGAAATTTTTTATTTAAAAAATTTCAATTAAAGAATTAAAAAAAAAATTGTCACATGTAAAAAACTTGAAAAACTATACGTGCAATTTTTTATAAATATTTTTTTAGCTGTAATTTAATTAATAAAAAAAATCAAAAATTTTTAGACGTCTGCTAACTTCAGTGTCATGATTTGTTATAAAAAGTTTGAAAAATTTTGACAGTTGTCAGCTAACTTCAGTATCATTTAATTTTCATTTTTTATGATACTGAAGTTAACCGTCAGCTATCAAGTTAAAAAATTTTTTTAACAAATCAATTACAATAAAAAAATGCTTCTAAAAATTTTCACTTATAATTTTTATTAGTTCTCACATGTAGAATTTTTTGATTAAATTTTTTTTTTTTTATAATAATTTAATTGTTATAAAATTATTAAAAAATTACTGACTTATTCAATGTCATAAATTTTTATGAAAATATAATTAGCAGACAACTGACAATTTTCAGAATTTTTTTTTATTAATAAATTATTACAAAAAAATTAAAAAAAAAAATTCCACATGTAAAAAATTTGCAAAACTATTCGTGCATAATAATTCGTGTCGGATAATTTTAGTTTCATTAATTTTTAAAAAAATTTAAAAATGTAGAATTTTTTAATAATAATTTAGTTGTTATAGAAATCCAAAAAATTATGGCTGTCAGCTGACTTCAGTATCATGGATAATTAACTTCTAAATTATTATTGTTAAAAAAAAGTTACCTGTTATGTCTAAGATGATACTAAAGTTAGCCGACGTTTTTAATCATTTGATTTTTCTTTAAATAATTAAATTAAAATATTTTTAAAAAATTTCACTTACAGTTTTTGAAGTTTTTTACAAGTGATATTTTTTAAAGATTTTTTTAAAATAATTTTTTCAATAAAAAAGAATTTTTAAGTGTCGGCTAACTTAATTAATTTTCATATGTCTAAGCTGATTGATTTTTCACGGTGATTATAGGTCTAACGATGTACGGCCACAGTTTCGGGTGGTTCGGATACTCGCTGGTCAGCATCGCAGCTGTGATTGGAGCCTTCTCAGGGGCTATTGTCTTCGCAATGTGCTTGAAACGACGGAATTTCCCTGGAAATAGGCCGCTCAATTGGTTCGAGAAGGACCTGTTGGACCGCGCCAAAGAGGCCACTACATCCAAACAGAATTTTATTGAGCTGGGCAATGTCGCAAGTGCTGCAGCCGGCGATTCCGCCGGTCTGCCGGACTTTGGGGACAGCCTTTGCGAGGAATTAGAGTGGACTAGACGCGACCCGCCGTATGATACTAGTATTTTGGACTCGCGCGAAGGTAATTTTTTGTAATGATTTAAAAGGTGCAATTTTTTTTAATTACTTCAAAAGAAATTGAAGTTTTTCTTTATTGAAGAAAAAACTATTTTTGACAGTGATATAAATTGACATTTAATAATTTTTTTAACTACATTTAAAAAATAAATTATCATTAAGAAAGTATTTTTAAACAATTGCATTCTTACTTTTTTTTTTTAATAATTTATTTTTTAAAGATTAAATTCACAATTTCTAAAAATTTACTCCGGAAATTGTCAATTTCAGTATATAAATAAAAAACGCATTATTAATTGAGTATTTTTCCAGTAATTCAAAGACTATCCGAAAGAGATGATGAACCTAGAAGTCCAGTGAGTCCAATAGCACCACCATTACCAGGTGGTGCACTAGTAGCTAGTGATGAGCGGATGGTAATTGTCAGACCACAGCCAAGATCTTCCCATGGCTCACGATTAAGTAGTGACAGTGATTCTGTCTTTCACAAAGTAAGTTACTAAAATAATCTATATAATTAAAAGGATAAAGAAAATTTTGTCTTCATATTTACATGATAAAATAAGTATTTATTAACTGTTAATAAATATTTTGTTGAGTGAATTTGTTTGGCTTGCAATGTTATATGGGTGATTCTCCGTAAGGACGTCTTAAATCTGTACAAAATTGTCCGACCAAATTATTTTTTATTATATTAGAAAAAAAATTAACAAGGACTACAAAACAGCCGATTTAATTTGTGCTTTCTCGATATTTGTGTATCTTTTGCCATATAACATCACAGGGGACTGTTTCCCAGGGGACTGTTTTTTTTTTTATCAAATTGAGAAAAATCAAGCAAACTATTTCAATGCATTTAACTTTTCAAGTTCTCTATGAATGTTTACATTAATTAGAATAATATTAAGACTTATGGATCGAATTTTATAAATAAATTATAAATAAAAATAGTTGCCAGGGGACTGACGTTTTCAAGTGGCCCGACACATATTTCCAGCACAAACGGTGCTTTAACACTAAATAAAATGCCGATAAAGCGCTAACAGCCCTATGGTTATTAACTTAAAGCTAGTTAGGTCCTTATAAACCTTACAAAAGGTAAAATAACACGCTGGAATTTTTTTTTGGCTTTGAACTTCTGGCAGGGGACTGTTCTTAAAATCCCTGGGACAAACTTTGGTTTAATGAATTTAATCAAACAAATTAATTTTCGGTACTTTTTATTGAAGAAGATTGTTAGTTAACTAATTAAGTTTATAAACATTATGGACCAAATTATATATTATGGACGAATAACTTAAAATTTAATCTTAAAGTTTTAATTTTGAAAATGGGACAGTCCAGGGGACTGTTATTTCGGTGGTTTACCAATTTATAGCAAAAAAACCAAAATTTATTTCATTTTTGTTTTCAATGCTCCAAATAGAAATGTTTTTTTACTTTCGTAATAAATTTTTTTTAGTAACAAAATAACAATTTTTCTAATAAAAAAATGCCTGGGACAGCAAAAAAACATCCTTACAGAGAATCACCCATATAATTTTTTTAAAAATTTCTTTACAGTTTGCTAGTATTTATTTTTCTTATAAAAAAAATTATAATTTAAATTTAATTAAAAATATTACAGCAATCTTCCTGGTCATCATCATCTTCACTGGATGAAGTTGGAGGTGACCTACAATTAAGCTTGACGTTTGATTCAACAGCCGGTGTTTTAACAGTGAAACTCATTGAGGTAATAAACTTACATTAATAAACATAAATATAAACCAATAAGATAAATATAAGTTACCTGTTCTGTAAATATAATTAAAATGTTCTATATATTGTAGGCACACGATCTACGAGCCAGGGAATTAAGCGGAAACGCAGATCCGTACGCTAAGATACGTTTGCTGCCAGACCGAAGCAATACGTGGCAGACAAAAGTTCACAGGTGTACCTTGAACCCTGGTAAATTATATTTCATATCACGTTCGTTTTACTCAACTAAAAAAAAATAAAATCAATAAAAGCAATTAGGTAATTGCAATTGCTCAGTTGTTAAGCTGTTGAATAAAATTACAGTGTTTGATGAAGAGTTCACCTTTGAAGTTTCTTCTTTAAATGGGACAACTCTTGAAGTACTTTTGTATGACTTTGACCCAGCATCCAAGCATCGCGCACTTGGTTACGTACGTTTACCATTGCCACTTAATAATGGCGAGTTCCTGGGTCTAAAACCAGTTGAAGTAACTAGACCAATACACAGGTACGGCGCAGAAGGTAGTGTTTATCGATCTGATCCACTTGGCGAGCTTATGGTATCTCTCTGCTATGATGCTAATGCTAACAAATTAACGGTAATCGTCATACGGGCAATTAATCTCTCAATTACTGAGGATTCTGGTAATCAGAATTACGATACTTATGTAAAGGTAAATAGTTGTTGTCATTGTTTATGTAATGGTTATTATTTGTGTTATAACGCAACATTTATTTAGCTTTTATTTTTAATGATGATACTTAAGTTAATTAATCAATTCTTATAATAAAAAAATGCATCTAAAAATTTCTGATAATCTATATTATTAAGAAAGTAAGAAAAATTTTGTCGCTAAGATATTCATATGATATAATTGGTTTTTTTAGTAAAATTTAGTGTCATTACAAAGGTCTTGACTAGAATTTGTGCCTTTTTAAAGTTTTATATCATTCTCACCTAGTCAATTTATTATGATGTATTTAGGCTGCGTTCGAAAACATCTCTAGATACATAATTAAGAAATGACCTTGTATTTTGTAAAATATTGACATTTTTAAAGATATAAGCTTATTATGATGTTACACTCAACGAGACCTTTCATTTGAGTACCCACATCAATTTTATATATTTATATATATTATATATATGTCTATATGAAAAATTGATGGAGGTACTCAAATGAAAGGTCTCGATGAGTATAATGTCGGGATGAGCTTATATCTTAAAAAAGGTCAATAATTATGAAATGACATTTTATCTTTTGAATTATTGACATTTTTAAAGATATAAGCTCACTCCGACATTTCATTCATCGAGACCTTTCATTTGAGTACCCACATTGAGTTTTCATATATTTTATATATTTATATATTTCATAAATACCATATATATAAAAAATATAACAAATGCCATGTGGGTACTCAAATGAAAGGTTTCATTGAGTGTAACATCAGAACAAGCTTATATCTTTAAAAATGTCAATAATTAAGAACTGAAATTGCTATCTTTTCAACTATTGACATTTTTAAAGATATAAGCTCATCCTGACATTACAATCATCAAGACCTTTCATTTGAGTACCCACATCCATTTTCATATATTTATATAATATATATTATATATGTATATATGAAAAATATATCAAAAATGCATGTGGGTACTCAAATGAAAGCTCTTGATAAATGTAACATCTGGATGAGCTTATATCTTTAAAATCGTTAATATTTAAGAAAATACAGTGCAATTCATCAAAAGTCATTATTTAATTAAGCAAAATTTTTTTTATTTGTAGTTCACAAGTCACGGTAGTTACATAGTGACTGCAAGGTTGCTAGTGTTTTATAAATTAAAAAAAATAAAACTTAAAGATTTCTGAAATAATTATATTTTATAAATTGAAAAAAATTAAAATATTTTAAAAAAGTTAAAATTCTTATAAATTTTAATAAATTTCCAGGTAACAATATTCAAAGACGGAAAAAGCTTGAAGAAAAAACGGACAGTAATCTGCCGTGACCCAAGCCCAGTATGGAATGACGTCTTAAACTTCGATCTCGGTAGTGATATCCTATCAAGTTGTATTTTAGAATTTACAATTGTAAGAACAAGCGGCGAGCTACTAGCCCGATGTGAAGTATCTAAAAAATGTCAAAGAGAATTTTTCCACCGAGTTTTATCAGGTAAAGGTGCTTCTGTTCAAAAGGTCCCACTTACTGGTCCCGATAAACGTACAGATTCTTCATAAATTTAATTTATAACTATAAATCCTAAGCAAAGAGATACCAATATATAATTAATAAAAAATAAAATAATAAATATATGTATATGGTATAAGTATAAATATGTGGATGGACTAATTATAATTTATATCAAGTAAATTAAGGTGTACAGAATTGATGAGCACACTTCAGAGACCTGCTTTATACTTTTCTTCAAATAATTATTTTTATTATTATTATTGAAAATATTATTTTATAAAATAGCTCTCGGCGGGCCAATGAGTAGAGTATTTTATTGTTAGCTATATTAATATATATCTATATCAATATTTGTCTTTATCGTTAGACATGTGAGAAAAAATATTTAAAAAAAAAATAAAAAATATAATAATTAGTCTACACCGATAGAAGGATTTATTAATTATTAAATTTATTAATTGTTAATAAATATTTATTAAATCTTGATGTTAAAAAATCATTTATTATCAGTTAGTAAAGCTTATTAAATATTATTAAATCCTTCTATCAGTGTATTAGCATAATTAATATATTTGAATTAAATCTTAAGCTTCATCCATTTTTTTTAATTTTAATTGCAATTTTTTTTTTATGCAATTTAATAATTTACAATTTTATTTATAAATTTTAATTAAAAGTACAAATAAAAAATTTTTAAATAATGTAATTTTTTAATTGAAATATTTTTTATAAATTAAATAAATAAAATTGTAAATTATTTAATTACATTTATTTTTTGAAAAATTATTTTAATTACGCACATAAAGCAGTTAAATTTATTACCTGATTTGCGAGTGACTAGAAAAATTGAGACACAAATTTTATTACTTATTTTTAAATACTTAATATTAAAACCTCCTGGGACCAGGAATACGTAATTAAAAAAAAAGTTAATTTAATTTAAAAAAAAGATTTTTTTATTTTTTTTTTTGTTATTTAATTTCAATACACAGTACTGATAATTGTAGTTCTTGGTAATTGAAATTAGTCAAAGAGACCTGTAACAAAAAAAATAATAATTATTAACAAAAAAATTCTTATTAATTTATTAGACTACTGAAAGTCCTTTGATATCATTATAAAATTCTCTACATTAATTATTCAGTAGCTAATACATGTTTAGATAATCATTTAGTTGTTTAATTAAATAAAAATTGGAGTAAAATAAATGTATTTATTGTTTAAAAATTTAATTATTTTCTTACCGAAACCCATGTCATCATCAGACTCTTCTTCGGGTTCCTCCTTCTTTTTCTCGGCTTCCTTGGCCGCGGGGGCAGCGTCTGCAGCAGCAGCGGCAGCTACTGGAGCTAGAGTAATAAAATTTATACAATTAAATATTCGTAAAAAAATTAAATAAATATGATTATAAAATAAGCAGATGTTTAATCTTTTTTTTTAATTTTTGTATTAAGTCAATTATTGAAAAAAAAAATCTAATTAATTTTTAATGGTGTGAAACTATTATATAATTTTTTTTAGATATTTTTTAAAATGTAGGCTTCGAAAATTTTTTAAATTTCCACAAGCAGAATTTTTTTAATAAGTGTTTCTAATTATAACTAGCAACCTTGCAGTCACTATGTGACTGCCGTGACTAGTGAATTATAAAAAAATAAAAATTTGTTTTAATAAATAATGACTTTAATTAAATTGCACTGTACTTTCTTAAATATTGACATTTTTAAAGATATAAGCTCATCTTGATGGTACACTCATCAAGAGCTTTTATTTGAGTACCCACATGCATTTTTCATATATATATATATATATATATATATATATATATATATATATATATA